TCATTTGTAGATTCCTGAAGGAAGGAGACTTGAGGGAATAGCCTGGAGTGAGTAAAGACTGTGGTGCCATATGCCTGGAAAGGGGGTGAGAGGTCTCTGCTGTATCAGCTAGCTATTGCTAAAAAACAAACCACCAAAGACTGTTTAAATAACACATTTATTGTTGTTCAACAGTCTACAGCTCAGTTGTTATGTTAAGATTTTCTAGAAAAGCATTATATAGATATATAATATATATTTATATAAATTTCCATATATACATATTTATCTGTGTGTGTGTGTGTATATATATATATATATATATATGTACACACATACCTCTTTGACTGCTTTATCAAATCTTTACATGACATGTTTGCTTTAGATATATATATTTTTTCTTTTTAAGCAATAACATTTATAGTATAGTTGGGGCACCCTGTAAGTCTTCCTTGTCTTGATTTCAGAGTTTGTCATTCTTATGCATGATTTATAACTTTGCTGTATAGGCACTTTATCCATAAATAGGATATATTGATTTTGTAGATCTTTAAACTTTATACACTGCAAATATCGTTCTGAAGCTTGCATTTTCTGGTCAACATTATATTTTTGAGAACTATACAAATTCATGAATGTACTCTTAGTTCATTCATTTTTGTGGCAGAAAAGTGTTCTATTGTAGGGTGGCCAACTTTTTCTGTAAAGGGATAAAAGAAAAACATTTTAGATTTTGCAGACCGTCTATGATCTGTGTCACATATTGCAAATTCAAGAAAGAAATAACTTGTATATATCTGATATTAGATTGGACGCCCTGGTACTTTTCTTATTTTATTGGCTAACATTTCTAACAACAATTCCATTTAATGGTTTTCTGTACCAGAGATCATTTTCGGCTATAGTCAGTATAGTATACATAGCTGCTATAGCAACCTAAACAGTGGTCCATATGATTATGTAATGGTATATGCCTACCATTATATGACATTTGCAAGACTTGAAGGTGGGTTCACATTCGTTCCTCCTAAATTAAACCCACCTCCAAATGGGCCAGCAGGGAGAATGCTTCCATCTACCCACCAAGAGTTTTCACTTAGGTTTGGCTTTAGCATGATGTTGGCTCTGATTTTTTTTTTTTTTTTTTTTTTTTTGGAGTTTGTGGCCACAAGTCAGTGGAAGTTACTTAGTGGTACTCAGTCGGAAGACATATGCTTCCTACCCCCTTCCACACAAGGATGTCTTGTCAAGGCTGTGCCTAAGTTTAGTGAAACATGTAACTTCTGCTTATATAGCTTCCTAGGTGTCTTTCAAAATCCTTTATTTGAATAATCCAATAGGCAATATAGGCCTTCTGATTCCTCACCCACTTTTCTGTAAGGTAAGTAGGTCTTGGTAGTGCTGCGTAGAATTAGAGACACTGAGCAGATATAATCACACCCAGAAGTTATATCCATGCAAGGTCCAAACCACTTACTTTTTATTCTTTATATCCTATCTATTGCTAAAAGGCTTTCATATTGTTTATAACCATGGACACATATCAAACATGACCATAAAATAAGGAAAACAAAAAATATTTGAAAAAAAGAGAATGGAAGATAGATTTGGCGGGGGGGACGGGGGAGTACACTGAGGATTATTGTGGTAGTTAAAAAGATTAGTAGAAGAAGAATGTGCACGAAAATATTTGTGAGTGTCTATGGTTCAAGTGTTGGCAAAGGGAAAAATATAATAGATTGATTCAGTCATGGAGGGTCTAATGGCCATGCTGTATTATTTGCAAGGTTCACTGTACATGAGTAGCTACATTTTAAGAGAGTTTGTGATAACGTGCCCCAGCTGAAAATCTGCAGTAGGATAGAGAACCTCTATCTTGGGTTTCTGAGTGGTCTTGCTACTATATTGATGTTAGATACCATTTTGCTGCTGCCATTTTGCTGATAGAGGGCCCCGCATGAGTCTAGGATCTTGCTTCCTTGATCTGGCTATTAAAAGGAAGGGTTTTGGGGGGTGGGGGCAGGTGGGGGTGTCTAGCTCAATTCACTGATGCCCCTTTTCTCTGCCTGAGGCAGGATGATAAGGAAGGAGGAGGACAAATTGTGAGGGCAGATAGAGGCATCTGCTTCTGCCCGACTTTTCTCTGATCATTGGTTATTCCTTGAGAGGCAGTTCTCAGAAACCAGCTTAGCACAGTGAGACTTACCCATTCCTTGGTGCCTAAACAGCATTATTTCAGAAGGTCTTTACATATGAAATACTCACATAATAGAAGACAGATATGAAATTTGGGCTCAGTGGAAGCAAGGAAAAATTGGACAATTACTCAGCGTACCCTTGGTGGATTATCCAGACTCCTTGAGGCCCTGGGCAGTTTTAAGGATAGCAGACTCCTTGCCTTCAAGTGATAAAAGAGATAAAATGTGAAGCTGAGACCACTGCTAGGGAAATGGACCTAATTATATTTATTTTGGCAGAATAGCCTACTGGTTAAGACTACCATTCTGGAGCAAGACTACTTAGGTTTGAATTCCAGCTCTTAGCTGAGTGATCTCTGGGAAGTTATTTAACATCTCTATGTCTCCACTTTCTCATCTCTATTATGAGGATAATAACAGTATCTACTTCATAGGATTGTTGTTAGGATTAAGTGATTCATACCTGTAAAATTCTTACAATAGTCCTTTAGCATGAGCTAAGAGTGCAGTAATTTTTTGCATAAGAAAGATGAGCTGGAGGAGATCTTATCATCCAGATCCTTAGGCAAGAAATCGAAATATATCTGGGAGAAAAGAAAAAATTCACTCAGGATCTTTAAGGATTATAGACTATATAGTTATAATCACATCATGTGGGTTATAGATGATGGACCATAGAATTAGTTCTCATAGTTCTGAGAACTAAACATGATATAAATATGTATTGAAAGAAAAGTCCTCAACTTTTTATTAAACATCTGGTAAGCTGGCAGATGTTCAAGAGAGATTTTAATAACAGTGAAATCTTAGTCACTAAGACTTTAATAATATTTTTTAACAGTACCAGGGTGTCATACTGGTTACATCTGAAGGGTGAGTTTTGCTATAGTAATCTAAATAGTTTATGCCATAGCTATTTTCTACTTGGCATTTTGCCAGGATAAGGAAAAATGTCTCTGAAACAACTTCATTATAACAATGAAATGATAGTCCTTTTGCCTTTAAAAAATCTAATCTAATAAACATTTATTGGGTACCTACTAAGTATAGTAGTAGTGTATCTAGTTCTTTCAAATACATATTCTTACTGAAGTATGAAGTAGACACAGAAAACTATACTCATAATAAGGCCAAATCTTAATGATTTATCACAAAGTAAACTTACTCATGTAGTCCTTTATCCAAGGTGAGAAACAGAAGAGTACCAGAATACCCAAAAGACTCCTTATGTTTCTTTTCAGTCAGTTTCCCCACCCTCCTCCCCAAAAGGTAACCAGTAAGCAGAAAGCAGACTTCTCACACCACAGATTATTTTTTTCCTGGGTTTTAAAGTTTTATGTAAATGGAATCAGAGTTCTAGTTTCTTTCATTCACACTGTATTCATGAGTTATCCATATTGTAGTTTGTAACAGAAGTTTGTTCCTTAGCATTGCTGTAGAGTATTCCATTGTATGAATATACCACATTGTATTGATACAGTCTGCTTTTGATTAATATTTAGGTTATTTCCAGATTGTGACTGTGACAAATAATGCTTCTGTAAATATCCTTGTGCAGGCCTTTTAGCACACATATATATGCAGTTCTGTTTCATGTATATGCAGGTGTAGAACTACAAGACCTATAAGCAATGCCAATGTTTAGCTTCGGTAGAGACTGCAAAGGCAGTTTTACCATTTTACACTCCCATAAGCAGTGTGTGAGAGTTCCAGTTCCTCCATATCCTTGCCAGCACTAGGTATTACTTTTTGTGATTGAGTAAATGTATAGTATCTCATTGTAGTTTGAATTTGCATTTATTGATGACTAATGAACTAATTTTCTTTTTATGTCTTTACTGGCCATTTTGGGGGGGTGTGTTTCTGTGTGTGTCTGTGTGTACATGCATACACACATGTGAAATGACTGTTCAAGTATTTTTACTCATTACAAAACATTGTATTTGCCCTTTTGGTCTTTGTTCATACCTTCTTGTATCTCCATGCTTACACGTAGGATCATTTCTTGTTGGCCTGGAATACTACTTTTAGCATCTCTCCTTTAGTGCAGATCTGCTGGTGACAGATCACCTCCTCATTTTTGTTTTGACAGAAAATGTATTTCATTTACCTTCATCTTTAGGTATGCAAGCCTGTGTTACTTCCTACTTTTAGGTTATCATTCATCTTCCGGCTTCCATTATTTCTGTTGAGATGCTATTGTCCACTGTCATTGTTGTTACTCCTTTGAAGTTCATCTATTTATACTTTCTGACTGCTTTTAAAAACTTTCTCTTTGACTTTGGTGTTCAGCAATTTTAACACATTATGCTTATTTGTGGTTTTCTTCATATTTACCCTACTTGGGATTTGTAGCATTTCCTCAATCTGTGGTTTGATATTTTAGCAGTTTGAGAAAATCTCAGCCTTTATTGCTTTACATATTGCGTCTCATCATCATTCTCTCTTGCTCATTCTCTCTCTCTTTCTCTCTGGGACATTTTCACTCTCCCATAAGTTTTTCATGCTTTTTGTTTCTCCATTTAAGTGTTTTCTTCTGACCTGCCTTCTGGTGAGTACTAATTATCTTTATAGCTGTATCCAATCTGCTATTAAACGCATCTGCTGATTTCTTAATTGTAATGATGGTATTTTTTTAGTTCTAGAATTGTCATTTGAGTTCTTTAAATAGTTTTCAGTTCCTGATAAGTTCCCAACTTTGTCACACAATTTTAAAAATTTATAAATTATAGTTATTTTAAGTCCATGTCAGATATTTATAAAATTTGTATCTCCTATAGGTCTATTTTTATAATCTATTATTATTTTTGGATTTTAGTCATTTTTCATTGTTGGCATACTATGTTATTTTTAATTTAATGCCAGGTATTTGTAAGAAAAAGAGTAGAGAATATTTGAGGCTCTGCAGGAAGATGTTGCTTTTGTTTATGGCAGTCAAATGGACTAGATGCAGATCAACTTGACACAGTCATGATTTGAAATGATTGAAATATGTACTTCAGTCTTTGCAAGGGCTGAATCTCTTTACAGTCACCCTTACTCCTGGTGTTCTTTGAATTCCTATCAGAAAGTTTTGGGTGTACACTGGGATCATTATGGGACCTGAACATCAATATTTGCTCCCATATACACCAGCTTTGAGAGATTGCTGTAAGTTGTATTCGTATTATTTGTCTCTTAGTACTCACTTTAATTTGGGAAACTGTCTTGAGGGAAAAAGCAGCTTCAGAATTTTCTCGAAAATCTCTTCAGATTTTTTTTTTCTCTCAAAGATCTTCACCCCAGGAATACTCACTGCTTTGGAATATCTCTGATCCCTTTGAACAGATGTTTGTCTAGTTGTTCTTGACAGAAATAATGGATTAAAACAAGCCAATCTGCCAGGCTAGCATGGAAATCTTTTGCTTTTTGATGCCTTTTTAGGGAATTCAAAATGCATAAGAAAATAAAATTGTCTGGGCGTGGTGACTCAAGCCTGTAATCCCAGCATTTTGGGAGGCCGAGGCGGGTGGATCATGAGGTCAAGAGATCGAGACCATCCTGGTCAACATGGTGAAACCCCGTCTCTACTAAAAATACAAAAAATTAGCTGGGCATGGTGGTACATGCCTGTAATCTCAGCTACTCGGGAGGTTGAGGCAGGAGAATTGCCTGAACCCAGGAGACGGAGGTTGCAGTGAGCCGAGATCGCGCCATTGCACTTCAGCCTGGGTAACAAGAGCAAAACTCCATCTCAAAAAAAAAAAAGAAAATTGTACTTTTTTGTTATTTTAAATGTTTGTTGATGGCTGTAAGACTAATAATTTATCCTTTTTTTCTTTTTCTGTTTCCTATTTGTATGAATTCCAGAGATACAAGTAGTTTTATTACATGAATTTATTGCATAGTGGTGAAGTCTGCGCTTCTAGTGTATCCATCACCCTAATAATGTACATCGTACCCATTAAGTACTTCTTATCCTTCACCACCCTCCCAAGTCTCCAGCATCTATCATTTTACCCTCTGTGTCCATGTGTACACATTATTTAGCTCACTTGGCTCCCACTAAGTGAGAATGAATATATGGTATTTGACTCTTCTTCTGAGTTATTCACCTCTGGTCCATCCACATTACTGCAAAAGATATTTCATTCTCTTTTTATGACTGAATAGTATTCCATTATATATCACATTTCCTTTATACAGTCATTCATTGATGGACACCGGTTGATTCCATATCTTTGCTATTATGAATAGTGCTACAATAAATATATGACTGCAGGTATCTTTTTAATATGATTGGTTTTTTTTGGGTAGATACCCGGTAGTAGGATTTCTGGATTAAAAGGTAGTTCTATGTTTAGTTCTTTGAGAAATCTCCACACTGTTTTCCACAGCCATTGTACTAATTTACACTCCCACCAACAGTGTATAAGCATTCCTTTTTCTCCCATCCTCACCAATATCTGTTATTTTTATTACCATTTTACAATAGCCATTCTGACTGGTATAAAATGATACTTCATTATGGTATTAATTTGCATTTTTCTGATGATTAGTGATGATCATTTTTAATATTTTATTCTGTAATATATATTTAGTGTATGCAGATCTGGCCTTTGAATTCTGGCACACTTTTTGGGATATCTATAGGACAATGTGAAATCTATTATGAGTTTTATTCATAGTAAAGAATCAAAAGCAACCAAAAAAGATGTACAAATGGCCAATAAGCACATGAAAATATGCTAGAAATTATTAGTCATCAAGGAAATGCAAATCAAAATCTCAATATACTTCACGCTCATTAGAATGGCTAGAATAAAAAAGTTAGATAATAAGAAATGCTGATAGAGATGTGGAAAAATTGGAATCCTCATAGACTAATGGTCGAAATGTAAAATGGTGCAACCCACTTTGGAAAACACTATGGCAGTCACTTCAACAGTTAAACATTATGTTATCATATGACCTAGCAACTCCACTTCTATAAACTCAAGAGAAAATAAGACATATGTTCACACAAAAATTTCCACATGAATGTTCGTAACAGCATTATTCACAGTAACCAAAAGGTAGAAACTATCCAAATATTTATCAACTGATGAATGGACAAAGTTGTGTATATCCATACAGTGGGATATTATTTGGCCATACAAAGTACTGATACATGCCACAACATGGATGAACCTTAAAAACATTATGGAAAGTGAAAAAAACCAGTCCCCCAATACCACATATTCTATCACATTATTAATATGAAAGTCCACAATAGGGAAATATTTAAAGATAGGAAGTGTATTAATGATTGTTTAGGACCAGTGGGGACAATATTGACAGCTAAAGGGTATGGGGTTTCTTTTTGAGGTGATGAAAATTTATTAAAATTGATGATGGTTGTACTTATATGTGAATATAAATTTTTTAATTATTAAAGTGTTTACTTTAAATGTATGTGAATTATGGCTGCGTTATTATAGAAATTTTTCAACATACAAAAAGATTTAAAGGATATTATAATGAACCCTCATGCATCTATCACATCTTCAACAATTATGTATGTTTTTAACCAATGAAAGATGTTTTCTAAAGATGCAGCTGACATAGGCGGATTCATACACTAAGAGTAAAGAGCCAGGATTGAGAGATTAGTTGAAAATTTAGAAGGGAAAAGTGATAATTGATACAGCAAAGTTTTTGAGGAGGCAAGTGATAGAGTGTAGTGCAGGTGGAGAGACCCTGGCTCCAGATAGTAAGAAAGACTCTGTGGCGACTCTTGTGGAGGCAGCTAACACGAGGCTGGGGAGCACTGAGCTGCGCATCATGCCCTGCGCTGCCCAGACTATTGAACAGTACAGTCAGGATGGGTAAAGGTGATCCCATGAAACCAAAGGGCAAGATGTTTGCCTATGCCTTCTTTGTGCAGACGTGCAGGGAAGAACATAAGAAAAACCCAGAGGTCCCTGTCAATTTTGCAGAATTTTCCAAGAAATGCTCTGTGAGGTGGAAGACAATGTCTGGGAAAGTGAAATATATCTAAATTTGATGAAATAGCAAAGGTGGATAAAGTGTGCTATAATCGGGAAATGAAGGATTATAGACCAGCTAAGGGAGGCAAGAAGAAGAATCGTAATGTCCCAAAAGGCCACTGTCAGGATTCTTCCTGTTCTGCTCAGAATTCTGCCACAAGATCAAATCCACAAACCCTGGCATCTCTATTGGAGATGTGGCAAAAAAGCTGAGTGGGATGTGGAATAACCTAAATGACAGTGAAAAGCAACCTTATATCACTAAGGTGGCAAAGCTGAAGAAGTATGAGAAGGATGTTGCTGACTACAAGCCGAAAGGAAAGGTTGATGGTGCAAAGGGTCCTGCTAAAGTTGCATGGAAAAACGTGGAAGAGGAAGATGAAGAAGACGAGGAAGAAGAGGAGGAGGAGGAAGAGGATAAATAAAAAAACTGTTTATCTCTCTCCTTGTGAATACTTAGAGTAGGGGAGCGCCATAATTGACACATCTCTTATTTGAGAAGTGTCCGTTTCCCTCATTAGATTTAATTACAAAATTTGATCATGATCATATTGTAGTCTCTCAAAGTGCTCTAGAGATTGTCAGTAGTTTACATGAAGTGACCATGGGTGTCTGGAGCACCCTGAAACTGTATCAAAGTTGTACATATTTCCAAACATTTTTAAAATGAAAAGGCACTCTCATATTCTCCTCATTCTGTGCACTTTGCTGTTGGTGTGACGAGGCATTTAAAGATGTTTCTGGCATTTTTTTTTATTTGTAAGGTGGTGTTAACTATATAGCTATTGGCTAGAAATCCTGAGTCATCAACTGTCTATATCTATAGTTTGTAAAAGGAACAAAACAACCAAGACAAACTCTTGATGCTCCTTGTTTGGCATTGAGGCTGTAGGGAAGATGCCTTTTGGAGGGGCTGTAGCTCAGTCATGCACTCTGAGGCTGGATCTGTTTACTCTGCAGTGGGCATCTGTTTAGCGCCAGGTTGTCTTGTTTCTGTATATAGTGACATAGCATTCTGCCACCATCTTAGCTGTGGATAAAGCGGGTCAGCTGGCATAAGAATTTTTTGTTTTGTTTTTGTTTTTTAGTTAAGTGAGGTAGTTTTTGAACTGTTTGTTTTTATACAAACTGTAAAACTCTTCATTGTCAGCAAAGTGAAGAGCCACTGCATCAATGAAAGTTCAAGAATCTTCTGTACTTAAACACAATTTGCAACGTTCTGTTATTTTTTTGTATGTTTAGAATGCTGAAATGTTTTTTGAAGTTAAATAAACAATATTACATTTTTAAAACTGTTCTCTATTATAACAGTCAGTTTCTGACTCACAACAGTGAACAAACCCCCACTCCATTGTATTTGGAGACTGGCCTCCCTATAAATATGGTAGCTTCCTTTATTACTCACTGGCCAGTTCACTTAGGGCTGAGATGAAGGAGAGGGCTACTTGAAGCTACTGCCTGCTTTTGTTTGTGTCTGAGTGGCATTAAGATGAAGTCTGGAGGAGCCAAGAGAAGGACATAGGCAAGGTTCAACAGCCTTCCAAGGTACAGGAAGGTGGGTGATTAGGACTGAGGCTGACTGCTAGGTTTAACTTTCTCTATTCCACCTCCACCCCCTATTTTGTGGGCCAAATGCATTGCTAAATAGCAATTTCAGACTGTATGTTGTTTCAGAAATTCAGGCCTTAGTTTTCCTCTTTCACCTCTACCCCCATGCTCCTGGCACATATCACGTTATTTGTGGTGCCCAACATTTGGGGTCTTGAGCCTGCTGCTTGTCTCCTGGAAGCCAGTGAGGGTATGTGGGATGGGGTCGTGGAGTAGGAGAAAGTATCTATCTTTTTGCTCCTACTTTACACCTTCAAAACACCAAATCCTCAAGGAAGATTGTAGGTTCCATCTTGGGACACCTGAGCTATAGGGCAGGCTAATGGAATCAACCATTTCTAAGCACTAAATGTATCATGAAAAGTTGAATGGCCTACTCACAAGTTTAGCTTGTTCACTGGAAATGTAGATTAATGTTCAATGTTTTTAAACTGGAAGAAGATTGGTTTGTGTGTCAGTGGTTATATTAGTGAGTAGAGTAAGATTTTATCCAGGTTGGAGTGAGGGGAGATGGCCACAATGGCAAGTGGTGACACTAAATGCCATTTTGAAGGCTGATATATACATACATCATTACTGTCTGTAGCAATGAATGATACAGTACTGTGTTGTGGGTGAGTGTTGCTATTGCCCAGCATTAATATTTGAGTGCATATGTTTGAGGCTATGAGACATGCAGAGGTGTTTTCGTGGTATTAATTTTAAGAGAAAGCAGCTTTTTCTTAAAATTCACTGTTCAGAAACTCATATGTCTGGAGGCGGTGTCCTCTCTACCCTCTCAGGTCCTGGATGAGTACAGGTTATGGTCACGGTGACAGCCTGATCTCTATATATTCATATCAATTCCTTCTCCCTTCAGAACTGTTTATCCTAAATGTGTTCTGTGGTTCTAAAAAATGACCACTAATTTAAAAAACTCAGTTGTGAGGTTTGCCCAGAGGCACTTGTTCCAGAATTGCCCCTCCTGCTTCAGCTATGTCCTTGTAATTTGGTATTCTAAGCTAAAGCTTCTGCTTCCCAATCCATGATGTGCTAGGCCAAGATTTGGGAGCTGTGGCCAGCCTTGTCAAATGTGAAAAAGAAACAACCTGTAGTGAAAAAAGAGTGATTTGTTAAGTAGTGCCCATCTACCTTGTAACTAGACATACTAACCAGGGAAGGGCAAAGGATGGAAAGGGGTAACTTGTGCTTCCAAAGTAGCTAAGCAGAAGTGGCAAAGCAGTTTAGCCAAATGATCTTTGATTTAGCAAACACTGAGTTTTGAAGAGGCTGTCAAGTTGAGACTAGTTGGTCCATTAGCTGGTGCAGCAAGACCACTCACTACTCAATGTTTTCACACTGTCACAAGGTTGCTCCTCTAATGGAATAATAACCTAGTTTCTCTGAGATGCTGTAAGTGGCATGGTGTTACCTAAGGCTTAGGCTTAGCTTGATTTTTGGGCCCACTGTATGTGTTCTTAAGATGCCAACCTGCTGCTCTTTTTTTTTCCATTTAAAAAGATAGTACCTATTCCCTCTAACCACCTCACCCCATTCATGAATGACATTTTATCCTTTGGAAAGAACAAGGCTGTGATGAAGTGACTATTGTCTGTTTCTCCTGTGTGTGTGTCTGTTCTTGTCACAAATGTATTTTGGAATGTTAGATGCATTCATTTTTCTGTAATTAAGTTTCTTAATCACTCTTCCCCCCGCCGCAAAAAAGACTCTTTTCATTTAGTTGAAAAAAAAAAAAACGATAAGAATTACTGACTCTCAGAAATCTGGTGGTATTTCTAATTTTCAGAAGCTTTCTATGCTAACTTTCTCCAGCTTCCCTCTGCCACTGCACTCCATATCTCCCTTGGCTTCCCCAGTTTCCCCTTTTAAGTCATTCACTAATTTTTTTGAAAAGTCTATTCCACAAAAGCATTTCATAAGTTCAGTCATTTTATTGAAGGTTCAATATCTACAGAGAGTAATCATAATACAGAAAACAACCATCTACAATCCTCCATCTTACAGGCAGCCTCTGTTATCTCTTTCAAAGCAACACACAAACTGTTCCCTTGTCCTATAAATAGAATTCCCTTCCTAAGAGGAATTCTGGGGAAGGAATATTCTCCATAACTTTACATACAGATTAAGTTTTTGGTGTCATCAGGAAATGAGCAAATGCATGCCTAGTGACAATTAATTTCTCTGTGAAATAGGAAGATTCATTTGGAAAGAGTTCATTTGGCTGGAATTGGGTAAGAGGAAGCTTTAGGAGTGTGCCAAGGGTTTAAAATATTGCCAAAGCCTTCCTTTTAGCTTTACCTACAGTAATGTCTTCCCTTCTAATAAAGATGAAAACAGCAAAATGCCTCCATCCATACAAACACGTAAGAAATGAGATTAGGATTACTAGGGGATGTTAGACTTCTGTGAAATGCCACTTAAATAGGCAGAACTGCCAATTTATCCCCTTTTGTGTTGGCTGTGTGAAGATAAGATTGGGAAATATTGTCAGGGAACTTTCCTCCATTTAAGTCTGAGTAAGTAGGTATTTGCATGAGCATCATCCTCGTCGTTCATTAGATGACAGCTTAATTTCTAGAGCTGGAAATGTACATTGGAAGCATTTTGTACAAACTTCTTATCTCCCAAGTGTTTCTCCCTCCCTGACCCCATTTCTGTCTGTGACATTTTGTAGTGAGCACTCAACAGTAAGAATGATGATTGAAGCCAGTGATTTCAAAATAATTTCTATGCATTCTCAGAAGGTTTCTGGGGTTGATTAAGCACTACCTGGGTAATAATTGCCTATTTCTCTTGATGGAGAAAAAGATGTAATTTGAAAATAATTGAACAAGAGAAAAATGAATAGATACTTGAAAAAGCTATGTAGGCCATAGTATTGCTTAAAGCAGTAAATATTTTGGAGTTAAAATACCATAAATATAATGATATAAATACTGTGTATGTGTGACCACATAACTTAGATTTTAATAATTTATGCTTAGCTCATCTTCCACACTTGAAGTATTTTTCTTATATTGGAGAAAACATAATGACTATAAAAATGATTTAATACTGGATCCTTTGAATTTGGAAATTTGTAACCACACATACATGTATAAGTAATATACAAAGTATATCACTAATATGTTCTGCTTTACAATGCTCCATTGAATTAGCCTCTCAGGAAAAATAACTTAGTCCAGTTACTTCCCAGTCAACTCAGGTAAGGGTGTTTCTATCTTTTAAATTTGATTAGTAGATCCCAGTCTTTCCAGTGAATTACATCATTAATTAAAGTCAGTGCCAAAAGACTATGAGAAAAACTGATGCTTTGAGTAAAACTGAACTTCTCCCAGGCAAATAAATAAGAAAGCTTCGGAGTTTTTATGTCCACCATCTATAGATGTTTTTCCATTTATTCAGAACCTAAGTAATAAAAACCTTTATTCCTATGCATTTTAAATTGTCCATTTAGATAGAGATAATTACGTTGCATGGACTGAGTTACATAGTATTGAATTTTAAGAAGTTGGCATGGATAAAGCTACAGCAATCAAGACAGTGTAGTAGTGGCAAAAGAATAAACAAATAGATCAAGGGAACATAATAGAGAGCCTAGAAATAGACCCACATAACAGTCAACTGATCTTTGATAAAGGAACAAATGCAATACAATGGAGAAATGATAATCTTTAAGACTCTAGACACAGACCTTACACCCTTCACACACACACACACACACATACACACACAAGAACAGAACGGATCACAGACCTAAATGCAGAATACAAATCTATAAAATTCCTAGAAGATAACATAGGAAAAAATGTAAATGACCTTGGGTTTGGTGATTGCTTTGTAGCTACAACACCAAAGGCATGATGCATGAAAGAACTGATAAGCTGAACTTCATTAAAATTAAAAATTCCTGCTCTACAGAAGACACTGTCAAGAGGATGAAAAGACAAATGACAGACTGAAAGAATATATTTGCAAAAGTCTTATCTGATAAAGGGCTGTTATGCAAAATGTACAAAGAACTCTTAAAACTCAACAATAAGAAAACAAACAACCAGATTTTTTTTTAAAGTGGGTCAAAGACCTTAACAGACATCTTGCCAGAGATAGACAGATTGCAAATACACATATGAAAAAATTCTCCATATTACGTGTCATCAGGGAAATACAAATTAAAACTGATGAGGTACTACTATATATCTATTGCAATGGAATATCATTTGGCCTTAAAAAATAAGGAAATGTTGCCATTTCTCAATAACATGAATAAACCTGGAGGGCATTATACTAGGTGAGATAACCTAGACATGGAAAGAAATATACTGCATGATCTCACTTATATGTATAATCTACAAAAGTCAAATTGATAGAACCAGAGAATAGAATGGCAGTTACTAGGGACAGGGATGGGTCTGGGAAATAGGAAGATGACGATCAAAGGATACAATGTTTCAGTTATGTCAGATAAATAAGTTCTAGAGATATAATGTACAGCATGTTGACTACACTTAATAATACCATATATATACTTGAAATTTTCTAAGTGTTCTCACACAAAAAAGGTAACTACATGAGGTGATAGGTAAATTAATTAGCTTGACGATAGTCATCATTTTACAGTATATTTGTATATCAAAATATTATGTTGTATACCTTAAGTATATTGGCAAAAAATCAGAACACTGACTACACAAAATACTGGTGAGGCTGTGGAGCAACAGGAGCTCTCATTAATAGCTGTTGGGAATGCAAAATGGTACAATCATTTTGGAATACAGCTGGGAGGTTTCTTACAAAATTATACATGCTCTTACTCTACGATCCAGCAAACAAATCACACCCGTGGGTATTTACCCAAAGGAATCGAAAACTTATGTCCCTCCAAAAATCTACATATGGATGTTTATAACAAATTTATTCATAACTGTCAAAACATAGAAGCAACCAAGATGTCCTTTAACAAGTGAATGGATAAATAAATTGTACATCCAGATAATGGACTATTATTCAGCACTAAAAAGAAATTGGCAATCAAGCCATGAAAAGATATGGTGAAGAAAACTTAAATGTACATTACTAAGTGAAAAAAGTCAATCTGAGAAGGCCACATACTGTATGATTTCAACTATATAACATTCTGGAAAATGTAAGACTATGGAGACAATAAAAAGATCAGTGGTTTCCAGGAGCTGGAGACAAGGGAGGGATGAATAGGTGGAGAACAGAGGATTTTTAGAGCACTTAAACTGCTCTTTATGATACCGTAATGGTGGCTATGTATCATTATACATTTGTCCAATGTATAACGTCCAGTGTACTCATAGGATGTACAATGCTAAGAGTGAACCCTAATGTCAACTGCAGACTTTGAATGATAAAAGTTGTAAAAAATGTACCACTCTGGTGGGCAATGGGGGTTGTTGATATGTTTGTGTGGGGTCAGGGAATATATGGGAAATTTCTGTACCTTCTGCTCAACTTTGCTGTGAACCTAAAATTACTTAAAAATAAAGATAATTAAAATAAATAAATAAACATTTCCAGATATTTTTAAAAAATGAAGCAGCAGGCATAGAAAGGTATTATCTCAATTTTATGGGTAAAAAAACAGAACCCAGAGAGGTTGCCATTTTTTCAGTGTAAACTGGTGAGGCAAGAATAAAACAAGAGCCAGATTGTCGTTTCCTAACTCATAGCCCTGCTTCCCATCCTTACTTGTGCCAGTATTTAGAGATGGTGGCAGCCTGTAGTAAGTAGTTTTGACCACAGTCTACTTAACGGTTAGCAGCATATATCTTAGATAATACAAATCAAGGCCAACAGTGCTGTGCTCTGGAATGTAATACCACATTCCGTTTAAATGAGCCACATCTTATCTCCTCTTCAGCTTCTATTATAAACTGGATAAACCCATTACCCATTAGTCATTTTAAGAAATAAACAGCTAGAATTGAGACTTCTTGAAACGCTAAGGACTTTCAGCCCAAGACAGATTGACTCTCAGTAACAGTGAAGTTCTCATTTGTTCAGCTTTCCACAGAATTTAAGAATGCAACCTCAATGAGCATTCTATAGCCAGTGTATCAGTTTAAAAGATCCTGCAGATATAGAGGAACATACTGAGCAACTTATTACTGAGTGTCTTCTGTTTGTATATCTACTGCTGTTATGTGCTCAGGAACATCAAGAGGAAATATAAGATTTGGTTGGTCGGTCTTGATTCCCCAGAAGCTTAGAAGCCAATTGAGGAATCAAAACACACCATATAAAGGACTCTAGATATTCAGATAGGCCCAGATGAGGCCAGGAAGGTATTTTAGTGTGAGTTACCTGGAAGCAGACCCTAAAAGAAGAATTTCAGTGCATGTATTTTGGGAGGAAGTTGTAAGGAGTGTGGGAGAAGAAAAATGAGGCAAGGAAGGGAAGGCAGCCAATAAAGGGATACAACTATTAGACGACTATCACCATGGATGACTAGACGTTAATCCATTGAGGAAATACTAGGAAATGGCATAGAACACATGCCTCAGAGATATTCTATCTAAGGGTTGGGGAAGCCATGGTACTTGTATTCCCACTCTTAATCTGCACTGGAATTGGGGCATTGAAGGTGCTCCCAGGAGTATGAATTCTTGGCACTTCAGCCTGCCAGGCATCTGGACACAGCAGCTTTCTACAGTTCTGGAAAACATACTCAAGCACAGTGGACAGACGCTAACAACTGGAAGTCAGGCTGTGCACATAAAACAAAAGAGTCCAAGGAATGCAGGTGGAGTGCTGACAGAGTATCTGCTGCAGTAGGATTCCTAGTGGAGGTGAGACTTGACAATACTTTCTCTTTTCTCTCCAGGTCTCCTCATGACCATATCCCTGTTGTCCATTGTGTATGGAGCCTTGCGATGTAACATCCTAGCCATCAAAATCAAGTACGATGAATATGAAGTCAAAGTGAAGCCTCTGGCATACGTCTGTATCTTCCTGTGGAGGAGCTTTGAGATTGCCACTCGAGTTGTAGTCCTGGTCCTCTTTACCTCCATCCTGAAGACCTGGGTGGTAGTTATAATACTCATCAACTTCTTCAGCTTCTTCTTGTACCCCTGGATCCTCTTCTGGTACAGTGGTTCCCCATTCCCTGAGAACATAGAGAAAGCCCTCAGTCGGGTGGGCACCACCATTGTACTATGCTTTCTAACTTTACTCTATACTGGTATCAACATGTTCTGCTGGTCTGCTGTACAGTTGAAAATAGACAGCCCTGACCTTATCAGCAAGTCCCATAATTGGTACCAGTTACTGGTGTATTACATGATGAGATTCATTGAGAATGCCATCCTCCTCCTCCTCTGGTATCTTTTCAAGACTGACATCTATATGTATGTGTGCGCACCTCTGTTGGTTCTGCAGCTGCTCATTGCATACTGCACAGCCATTCTCTTCATGCTTGTGTTCTATCAGTTCTTCCACCCTTGCAAAAAGCTCTTTTCCACCAGTGTTGTTGAAGGCTTTCAGAGGTGGGTGAGATGTTTTTGCTGGGCCTGCAGGCAGCAAAAATCCTGTGAGCCAATAGGAAAGGCAGATCTACAGTCATCCAGAGATAGAGATGAGACACCTTCTAGCAGTAAAACAAGTCCTGAGCCTAGTCAGTTAATGAATGCCGAAGATCTCTGCTCTGCTTAATGGGACCCAAGGTCTCAGGGCACAGACATATTATTTTCTGGGTTTGATACCTGTTATTCATATAAATAATTAGCCCTGCACAGGGAACAAGGCAGGAAGTTAGCTGTCAACTCCTTGTGAGCTGCTTCTCTTTATAGAGCTCTTGAGTATGTAGAACTGTATGGGAAGAAGCCAGGGAAACCTCTGAGTGTTGAAGGGGCAGCCCAAGACATCACAGTTCACAGGTAACCATGTTATGTCCTTTTCACTGACAAGTTACCCCTGAAATCTGAGTTGTACTGGTTAAATGCATCAGGTGGAATGAGGAGAGGGGCTTACCTGTTCTCTAGTTTTCCAGACTGTTGGTTTGGGTAACCTGAAGATTTATTATCCCTGAACATAATTTTCACCCAAGAGCTGTCCTGGTGACCAAAAAACGTTACTAGAGTTTGCCATCAATAATATCATTCCAGTCAGAGCTTTCAGGGAGGGCTATTCAAGTTTGGTTTTTGAATAGATAGATGTTTCATATTCATCTCATTAGGGCTTTTTGTACATAGCCAACTGTAGCTACCCTGGCATGCTGTCTCTAATTGATTCAAGAGTCTAGATTTGGAGACTTTATTCCTTAGCATCCATGGATGCAGAAATGAATAATAAATTTGGCTATGGAAGCCCTGGAATTTTAGGAAAGTTGTGATTCTTTGATATTTTGGTGAAATTCTGGATCAGGAGGGGTGTTAAAACATCAAAATTATGGAGGCTTATATAAGTAGAATTCTTACTATCTTACTCCTCCTCCCCCATCTTTGCCTGTCAGGAACATTTTAGACAAGAGTTACCTTTGTTAATTTAAGGGTTTGTTTTTTGTTTTTGTTTTTATTTTTTTAGAAAACCTGATAGAAATCTCTCACCCAGTTCAGGTATATAGGGAATTTTCCTTTTCATTATTTGAAGGAAGAGGGTTTTCCTCACCACCACCCATAATTAGAGATTGACTTCAGAAACTTTTCTAAATTATAAAGACGAATGACCAGAAAATTTTTGTCTTTCATTGAATGAAATTTGATTTAGCATAATCATGAGTTAATTTGATAAAGATCTCCAGTTTTATTCTTTGACACGCTTTAATGTTCTATATATTTTTTCCTTTAATCTGAGACCCTATTTGTTTCGTAAAAGAAGATTGGTTAGCATATCCTCAATTGTCTTGGAAAAAATGCCTAGATCTAGTACCATTATTTCTATCATTAAAATCTTGAAAATGAATTACTTGAAAACAGGTGACCATAAAGATTATACCAATTTAGAATGAATATTAGAGTAAAGTATGAGAAATTTACAAAAGGGCTCTATTTAAGGACTCGATTTTATCATATGGAATAGGGATCCATTCTCTATGTTAACCTACAAAACATATTTATCTGGCCATTGCACTTCTGATAATTTTCATTTTTAATTCTTCATGGTGTCAAATTTTTAAGTAATTTCATGCACACAGGTGAAAATGCAATTTAGTAATCAGTTTCTACTACATTCAGAGGTCAAGGAAACTGCATATATTCTTTCACAAGGCATCTATATTGTTTAACATTTATAGAGTTCATAGAAATACATCAATAAGCTCCTAAACTATACAGCCTCAATTTCAGTTTTTCGCATATGAAATGTTTTTTGTTTATCAATATTTGTGGTTTAACTTTGTGGGGATGCCCAGACAGTAGATCATTTTTTGTCTATATTTTACCAAATAAGAATAACACTCAGGCCCGGTGCGGTGGCTCAAGCCTGTAATCCCAGCACTTTGGGAGGCCGAGGCGGGTGGATCACGAGCTCAAGAGATTGAGACCATCCTGGTCAACATGGTGAAACCCCGTCTCTACTAATAATACAAAAAATTAGCTGGGCGTGGTGGCACGTGCCTGTAATCCCAGCTACTCGGGAGGCTGAGGCAGGAGAATTGCCTGAACCCAGGAGGCGGAGGTTGCAGTGAGCCGAGATTGCACCATTGCACTCCAGCCTGGGTAACGAGCGAAACTCCGTCTCAAAAAAAAAAAAAAAAAAAAGAATAACACTCAAGACTATGTTTTCCATTCCAACACATCACTTACCACTTTCACTATTTTTAATAGGCCTAAAATAGTGAGCATATATAATCAAAATGATACTTCATACAACATATACTTCCATGCACTCTCCATGTAATCACATATATGCATAGATACACAATTGTAATACATAAAACACCCTTGAAAATATATAATGATTTGGAGTAAAATAAAACTACCATGTTAACACATCATTTTTTTGTTTTTTCTAATTAACAAAAGGACTCTATAAATGATTAGGAGAGCAGTAATGGAATTCTTTAGTCATTTCAAGTGTGTATTTGTATCACACCAGTTACTTGTGTTCATTGACACCAAATATTTTCAAGCTTTTTGTCAGGCATTCTTGCCTTGAGGTTTTGCAGTAGCAAGTGATAGGGATGATAGTGCTCCCTTTTCACCTGAGATGCCTTCAGCTCATACCTTGGGAGTGAGGTGTGGGAGTAGCCACCAGCTTACCACTGACTAGGCACGTTAAGAATTAGACAAGGATGGAGAGACTGGTTTTTTCCAGTCTTGGCTTGGAAGCTTGTTTCAAAAACCATTACAAAATCTCAACCTTCAAATACATTTTAAATCACTTTAATTTAGAATATAGGTGAGCAACTTGAGTGATCCCAAACCAAACTGACAGTGCTGGTTTGTCAGACACCCAGAGCTCACTTCACACATTTATAAGGACAGAGATTTGGTAACTCATTTGGGCATTTGGTCAGTTTTAACCCCTGATATACAGGTATTCCAGCTTTGGGGACATGTATGTCCATTCACTTTTGGGGAGAGATATCACTACTTTCTTTCTGTGTGGTGAAAGCATAAGCCATGGTGAACTGATAATTTTTGTTTTTAAATTATTTATATTACTGAATTGGCAAAATTACAGTTCACACTTCAGAGCTACATTGTCCTATGGGCATAAAACAAACCAGCAAATTTTCTCATGCATTTGAAGTTAAAATGTGTTTTTCAGTTATAATTTCAATTTTTAAATTTTTTGGTGCTTTGTCTAATTAATTACATGCCATAATTTGTCAGAATAGCTGCTTCAACTGAATTGCTATCATTCGGCTGGATGGGAGTGAACTATGTCCTCAAAATATATTGAAATAAGTTTGTCAAACATGTTTAGACTTTCTCTCATTGCTGTAGACAGGCCAGTGTAGAGATTGGCATATCCCTGTCCAGTCCTACAACTTAATTCCTCTATGCCTCAGTTTCCCCATTATACACTTGTCCAACCTACCTCAAAGGTTGTCAGAAAGATCAAATTAAATAATAGATGTGAAAATGCTTCGACAATGTTTTTAAGTGCTATGCATATTTATAGAGTTGTTATTATAGTTATTCAAATCCATAAAAAGGTTATTATTATTTTTTTACTGTTTGAAAAGAAATATGTAGTGTCATTCATAGGAGTTCCTGAGTGGATATGTGAATCTTTGGTCTTCTTGGCAGGTGCCCTTTCTCTTACCACCAGTTGCTTACAAAAATTAGCACCCAAACACATGGCACTTGGAGGAAAAAGACCCACTAAATCTGATAAAGTACTTTCTGGTGGCAAATGAATTTTTCATTTTAGTATAGTTTTCTATAAAGCATATAACAACATCTTTTGATAATTGTTCTTTACAACTTGAATGCTGATTCAAGGCATTAATTGGATGTGAGTTTAATCTTTTCAGCCTTGCAAATGGGAAAATATACATTAAAATTCATTGTCAAATACAGCATTTCTTTGGAAACCACCTTAAAACATTAGTGCTATGGTTATGAGTGTATGTGCCAGTACTTACCATTGTGAATATGAGCTTTCATTGACTGCTTCTCTGCAGTCATTAATGCTAATAAATATTGTTATGTTTCTTCATATAATAAATTAATTTTTTAATTTCTCCTTGTATTTCATTCCTTACACAATTCTTACATGGCCTTTTAACTTCAGGGACTATTTTTAAAACAAATTTTTAAATGGTTTCCTTGTGACTAATTACAGTTTTATAACCTCACCTGGAAATTCTTCCTGTAGGCTGAGAAATTTGAGAGTGCTAAGATTCGGCGTTGCAGGACAACAACAGTCCATGAAAACTCCTCTGATTGTTTTATAAATATTTACTCCATTTGTTAAAAACTACACTTCTGGATACTAAGATTCTGTTCAGTTATCCATTAGTTGCCATGCACAATACAAAAATGGAGGCAATATACATCTCTTCTAGACAAACAAATATATGCTGATTCAGAAATATAAAGCACCAAAGAAATGGCTTGGTATTAACATAAATAATCAAATGTAAATGGTTGGGAAAAACATCAGTCAGTAAAGGAGTCATTTCAGAGCATGAGAGAGACATGGACTGTTTCAATAATTTGTTTGCTTCTGAAGGTGGCCTTGGAATTTGCAAAGACCCATGAAACCATCATCACAATCAAGATAATAGACATGTTCATCACCTCTAAAAGTTTCCTTGGCCGGGCGCGGTGGCTCAAGCCTGTAATCCCAGCACTTTGGGAGGCCGAAGCGGGCGGATCACGAGGTCGAGAGATCGAGACCGACCTGGTCAACATGGTGAAACCCCGTCTCTACTAAAAATACAAAAAAATTAGCTGGGCACGGTGGCGCGTGCCTGTAATCCCAGCTACTCAGGAGGCTGAGGCAGGAGAATTGCCTGAACCCAGGAGGCCGAGGTTGCGGTGAGCCGAGATTGCGCCATTGTACTCCAGCCTGGGTAACAAGAGCGAAACTCCGTCTCAAAAATAAATAAATAAATAAATAAATAAATAAATAAATAAATAAATAAATAAATAAAGTTTCCTTGTGCCTCTTTGTTTTTGTTTTGTTTTCTCTTTGTAAGAACACTTAATATTTTAAGTGCTCTTAATATTTTAAATTCACAATACAGTATCAACTATGAGTACTATGTTGTACAACAGATCTCTGTAACTTATTTTTCTAACATAACTGAAAACTTTATACCCATAGAACAACAACTTCCCATTTCCCTACCTCCTAGGCCTTAGCAACTGCCATTCTATTCTCTGCTTCTGTAAGTTTCACTATTTTAGACACCCCATATACGTGGAATCATGCCATATTTGTCCTTCTGTGTCTAGCTTATTTCACTTAGCATAATATCTTCCAGATTCTTCCATGTTGTCACAAATGGCAAGGTATCCTTCTTTTTTTTAAGGCTGAATAGTATTTAGGAATATGCCATATTTTATTTATCCATTTACCTATCAATTGACATTTAGGTTATTTTTATATCTTGGCTATTGTGAATAATGGTTCAATGAACACTGGGTGCAAATATCTCTTCAAGATCCTGATTTCAATTATTTTGGATACATACCCAGAAGTGAGCCTGTTGGATCACACAGAAGTTTTATTTTTTTTTTTAATTTTTAGAGGAGCCTTCATACTGTTGTCCATATTGGTCATACTATTTTACATTCCTACCAACAGTATACAAGTATTCTAATTTCTCCAAATCCTTACTTACATTTAATTTTTTTTGTTTGGGGGATAGTAGCCATCCTAACAGGTGTGAAGTGATATTTCACTGTGGTTTTGATTCGTATTAAGAATGTTTTGCACTTTTTCATATACCAGTTTTCCATTTGTACATTTTCTTTGGAAAAAGGTCTATTCCAGTCCTTTGTCCATCTTTTAATTGGGTTATTAAGCGCTTTCTGCTATTGAGTTGTGGGAGCTGTTCTGAGACTGTCAGATATATGATTTGCAAATATTTTCTCTAATCTGTAGATTTCTTCCTTTGCTGTGCAGGAGTCTTTTAAAATAAATATTTTCATGTTAAGAAAACTGAATATTAACAACTATAGCATTCAGGTAAGTCCATATAAAATTATTTAATTTGGTATTTATGTTTTATTTTGAAATGATTTTAAACTAATAGAAAAGCCTGAAGAATAGTGGAAGGAATTTCTTTATAAGCTTTACCAAGATTCACCTATCATTAATATTTGCCATGTCCATTATCATTATCACTTTCTTTCTCTTTCTTGTGAACCATTTGAGATTACGCTGCCTACATTACACCCCTTTATTCCTAAATACTTTGATATGTTTTCCCTATAAATAAAGGTATTCTCTTACAGAGCCATACTACAGTTATCAAATTCAGGAAATTTAATATTGATGCAATACTAATATCTAATCTAATATCTGTACTCCAGTTAACAATTGTGCCAGTCACTTCATTTGTTTTCACAAAGCTTCCTCAACCATGTGAATCAAATCAGTTTTCTTCTTTGGCGTTGTCTTTATTTAAAACTATGAGTAAGTTTTAACTTTTCTATGAATAATGGGAGAACTACAGCAGACGTTGAAAAGTTACTTGAAGAAAAAACATAGATGTTATCAGTGCTGACTAATAGCTTAAAACTGGAAATTTGAGATGTTTATTGGCAAACTGGGCAATTCTTTTTCATGGACATCCATTTTATGCTTCAAGTGTTTGCTGTTTAGTATTTCGACCTGTAGTTCAGTCCCCTCCTCTGCCTTGCTGCTCTAACTCTATTTTACAGTGGTTGGGCCCAAGTATTAAAAGATTAGGAATGAGGTGAGGGAAGTAGATATTATTCTGCTATGACCATATTTTTCTGGGTGACTCTCTTCCAGGAAACTATATTTTCTATAAACATCTCTCCAACTGAAAAAGAGCTCAGAAATATCAACTATACATTGTAACATTTTGAGCATTTCCTCTTTTTCAGGAAAAGGCACTTTATAGCAGCAGAGATTTGTACAGAGCTGGAAATTCAGAAACATCTCCAATCCCTCCTTTCCCAGTACACGTATACAAACACACAACCCCTGTCAGAGTAGACCCCCAATATGCTAAGAAGTTGAGTCTGCCACAGAAACCTGCTCTAGAGAATGACCTAACATCTTATCACCCTCTCTGCATGGCTATTTCTCTGGAAATTATTAAGCCAAGGAGATCTAGAACACTTGGTTTAAACAGGTTTTAGAATTCAGAGCATTTTTAAAGAGTGTTACTGCAACATATAACTGCATCTCTCTGCTGCAGGTTATCAGAAAACTTCACACTCAGACTCTGCTGTAGCATGGACCTTTGTGCGAGGGAGTCTGAGGGTTTTCCTCCTCCCAAGAAGGATAAATTTATCTAAATTGATTTTGAGGTTCTGCCTGTGCTTTTGCTCCCTCCTGCCTCCCATCCTGAATTAATTTTCTCTCTCTGAATGATGAGTTCCTGATTGAAACCTGATTAGCCTGCTTCCCAGAGCCCTGGAAATACCATCCTCCTTAGACATATACATTATGCATACTGGTTTAATTTCTTATCAGTTTGCTTCCTATCTTAATTACCTAAACTCTAGAGTTAATGAGTTAGGTTTTCAGGGGTGATAGCACTCAAGAAATAAAATAGGATTTTGAAATTCTGTTTTGGAGTGATGCTGCAACACCACACCCACTGCCACCATAGCAACGAGGATAATGATTCCCTGTTGTCATCTTCCCAAGGTGACCTTCTTAATTGGATTGGCAGAATTTTCTAGAAAAATGGTTCCTGTCTGTAGGGCTGCGGGTCTCCAAGAATCAAAGGTATTGTGATTCTCTCTACTAACTACAGATATCTGGCACACACTTGTGCAATTATTTTTCAAACTAATGGGAATGCTATTGTGAGTGATAGGACAGGACTGATTAAAAGTGTCACTGTAGTCAAAGTAATTTTGTCATTATCCTCTCAGCTCCCACAATGAACAAATATTCAAAATTCAACCACTGTCATTTGGAGGGTGACCTTAAAGGATGTCTTTTGTAATTAAGGTTATTGGGAACTATTATCCTGGGAAGTTTTTCTTTTTGTTTCGTTTTCTGCTGAATTATTTTCTTCTATGGACTTATGATACAGTCTTTTCCTTTTAAAATGAGGATAATTCACCCACAAATCATGTGGCTTCTCTCATGTCCAGCTTGCTTCAAGAGATCAGAAAATATTTTTATTTTAAAAGTGTACTGTAAATGTTCTTCCTTCAAAAAGTATATTATCTACCTTCACAGGAAGTATATAATCAAGGTGAAATGCTTCTTTAGTTTCAAAGCATTAATAAATGTATATTATTATCATAATATCCATCAAAATAATATGATTTCTACACACTCTTCAATTCACCTCCCAGTTTACTTCCTTGGCCTTCTTATAATATCAGGGTGCTTTCAGCTACAATTTGTGAATACCTGGTTGAAAGTGGCTGAAACAATAGGATTTCATTACCTATATTAGCAAGCAGTTTGGAAAGAGGTGATTTTAGATTCTAGCAGGCAAATCATCCTCAGGCCCCAGAGGCTTTTCATCTTTCCTGTCACCTTCAACCTGTTGCTCCATCTTCATGCTTGTCTTCTTATTACTGAAGCATGGTAACCTGACCTCCAGGTATCATATGTACTAAACTGAATCTGGGCTTCTTTTTCTTGAAAGATGGAAGGGGTCCCAAGAGTTTTGGAAGGAGGCAAAGTGGTCGTCTTCAGCTGCCAGGGTTGTACATTTCTTCCAGTACCATGAGTTACAGAAAAAAAAATAATCCTAATTTTTCTGCCTGAATGTTGACCTCATTTTTTAGCTCTTAGAACTTCTTGGCATTGCTTTCCATTACATTTTCCACTTCCCAGACTGAATTTATGGTCTACTTTCTCTGGAGAACTGATTCTGAAGGAGAAAGAAAAGCAAGGTTTCTATTAAGCCCTGAAGAGCTACCAGGGTTCAGCAGGACAATTTATACCTAGACAGAGCTTTGGGGTAATAAAAGAAAACAAATATTATGTTCTTGGGTCCCTGATAACATCTGCATATTTCCAAAGGAAAACCAATTTAAATGATAGAATGTCATCTCTTTAAAAGCACTC